TGCTGAACTCTACCATCAATGTGTTAATTAGTACAGAGTAATAAGCCTTTGCTTATTTGCTAGGGAATTTTCTTCCTATTCTGTGCATTTCAATACCACATTTGACTTTCTCATTCTGATAATAATGTGCACTGTTAACCAAGCTGCTGTTTCAGCAAAGCATTTTTCCTTTGAAGTATGTGCCATTTTGTTGCAGGTTATTTTTTTTCATGTTAGCAATGACAAAAGTAAACCCAGGGCTACTCCTTGGTTTTTATTTTCCAGGGTTTATTATTGTATTTACAGTTCCCTGTAAGAAGATACAACCCTTTCCCAGTAAGAGTTCTAATAACTTTCTATGTTTCAAATACTAACAACCCATATACCCATATGGAAAGGAGAAAGATAATCAGTGATGAAGGAGGTATCTCTAGGGGCTGATGCAGATGAATAGAAAACTTAAATCATTATAAATATTACTGTACTACACTTGGGTACAACAAAAAAAAATATTTTCAAATAAAATATTTAATGTTCCCAAAGTCAAATAAAATTCATAAACAATAGGAAAAGAAATTAACCACATTGGGGTTTTTATATCTGTAAAAAATAGTAAGACTACTTGGCTGCATTGCACATAGGCAATAAAATTAGATTCATTCAGAGCCTTGTTTCAGGCTGTAAGCAAGAAATGTCCACTGTGCTTTACAAAGGACGACGACTAGAAAAATCAATGCAAACAAATATCCTTTCTTTTCTGATTTACCATTTATCATGAGAGATGACAAACAAATGAAGTCTCCTCTGAGTCTGAGCGTAGTTGTATTAGCATTTTGCTAGTACCAGGCAGTATACAAAAACAGCCATCGTGTGTGACACCTCCAACACCTACAGGTAGCTGTTTTAGGGGCACATCCTGGTTTGTGGTGAAACAGGTTTAACTCAGCCAGCCTCTTGTACCTGCTCAGTGATATCAGGTTATCATCTCAGTAACTCCAAGGTTGGACTGTCTTGTTCCTATTGCTGACTGGACTGACTGCTCCACCATCCATAAACAGAAGGCATAAAGGTGATTACAAACATAAGAAAGTAGTTTTACATATTGTCTTGCAGTCTTTCCATATAGTCCCTAAGTTCCTTGGAATCACCAAGATTCATATCTTGGCATACCCATTTAATATTATCATCACTGTCAAATAGAATTGAGTTGGTGTAGGGGCCTCCATCCTCCGGCAGTATTGTTGTATATGAAGTGAACTTTACTCGCTTCTGCTTTGGCCCAGAAGGATTTATAGGTTCACTTTTAACTTCTTTTTCACAAAGGTACTCAGAAGATCTGAGGATATGATTATGAAGAGTCTTCTGAGAACTCCCATTAAGGAGAAAGTTGCTTTCTTCAAACTGCATTCCTCTGTCAATCATGGTAGTGCACTCCTCTGATGGGAGTGAAATGTCAACTGGGTTTTCCAGCAGTTCAACCTCATTTCCAAGCCAGACCCAATCGTGGGAATGGGGGATGTTGCCTTGCTCACTCACAGCAAACCTTTTATGCCTGTACTTCCAAGCAAATGCCACACAGTTAATCAAGAAGACCAAGATTGCTAAGCAGAAAACACACAGCAGGGCATACATGCCAATCTCCAGATCTGTTAATCCTCTTGAAGTCAACGTGAGATCACTGGGATTGTTTTCTCCTGGTATTTCTACTTGCGCAGGGAAACCTGTAAAGGCAGTTGGGTTATTCTGGAGCTGACCATCCTCCAGGGATTCCTGATCAATGGGAGATATGAAAGTTGTGCTTTTGTTTGCATTGTCCTCATGACTGGACATGTCCTCGTGGTTTTTGTACCATTCTTGTGCTGTCCTCTCTTGTTCTGCAGGTTTCTCTACAGAGTTGCTTGCATGGCTTTTAAAATCTCTATCCACATTATCAATGTCATTACTGCTTCCTTTTTGGTCAGAATCTTTTTGACCAAACTTCACTTTGACGCTTCCTTTCCCAACAGCCAGAATGCTCTTCCGTTTAGTCTTCTGACATGGCTCACTGATGACCATTTCAATTTTAATCAAAGGTCCTTGCCCATCCCCTTCCGCCACTATCCCAGGCCATTTGGACTGAAGGTTTTGGTGTGCAGACACTACCATCTCATCCAGTGAAGTGATGCTGATTGAGAAGTCCTTGGAGTCATAAATATCTAATGGCGTCACTGACCCATCACTGAACAAAATCCAAGCACTGACTATGGCTTCCTGGGGGAGAAAGGATGAGGAGAAATAGCGTGAAAGATAAGAGAGCACATATCAGACACTCAGTTGTTTAAATGTGTTTAACATTGGCAAAATAAATACACGGTTTAACTTTGGTTTATTTTTTCTTTAAAAAAAAAGAATTTCTAAATGTCTGCTCTGCTTCTCATTTTCTTTTTGCAGATTTGTGTTCTCTAGACCACTTAGGCATTAATCTCATCTTCAGGAACTATCAAAGATGTTAATTAATTTTATAAAGGACCTATAATGGGGAATTTCTGTAATACTGCAGTTCTAATGCCATATTTAATACAATGGGCAGAGCTGTTGTGTGTCAGAACGGTGATCCCATTCAGCCCATTAAAACAAACTAGGTTAAGAACACATCTCAGTGCAATATTTTACATTTTCAGTCATGCTTTCAAATATAGAAGATTATGTGAAATATACCTAAAGTTATTGTAGTCCTTTCTGGGAACTATAGAAACACTCACAAAAATGCCATTTTTTAAGGATGTTTTGACTAAAACAATTTGTCTTGTTACTGCAAATAGCTAGTGCCAAAAAGATAGTTACACTTTCTCTAGTGCTACAGAGTCTCAATTCTATAATAAATACAATAAAAAAGATAGATGCATTTTTTTCTGTGGTCTCATTGAAAGCTATTTAATTCCTCAGATGATACAGTTCAAAGTAAGCACAAACTGATCAGATTTCAGCAATGCAGATCGTGAAAACTTCTGTATGTGAAGCCAAAAGGTCCTTTTGGCTGAACTGACTTTGTGAGACTATGAAGACCTGGGGTTCTAACCCTGCTTACATAACTAAACTGTATTTTCTCATAGAAAAAGTGTTTTGAGTGGCACATACATGCTTTCTACAGCATTATGCATACGCAGACATGTCAATCACTTTCCCTGTGCTGCGCAGGTCTCCAGACTAGTTCTGAAGCATTTAACGGTCATTCTGTATGTGGGTTTGCAGGTGTAGGACTTGGTCAGTAAGATGAAGAGCCTTTACTACGTCAAGTTGCTGCTTTTCACAAAGCTGTACGTTATAAGTGCTGTCTAGAATTTAAAGCAAGTAGTTTTTCCCTAGCTTCTGACAAAGCACAGTAAACAAATCAATTAATTCTATATCCTGTTTTGGATCATACCTGTTTCGGAGTATGAAGGATATCATACGCAGAGGTGGTAGAAACAATAGCTCTCTTATTTCCTTTGCTGATTTGTAAGGAGAGGGACAAGCCTGAAACTAGTTGTACTCCTAGATCTGTAATGGTTACACGGTCATCTAGAACTATCACGGTCTTCTCTGCCAAGATGGAGTCGGAAAGAGGTGACAGAACCTTGAAAGAGAAAGCAAACGCCTTGCATGAAACAGGAACTAACTGTGTTGTAAAGCAAGATTAGACTCTAATCAGCATAACACTTCAGGTTAACCTTGGGTTTGTCACATCCATGTATAAGCTATAATTGATGTTTCCCCTAAGATATTACATTCATTTGCTGCTGAATTACTTTAATTACAAAAATAATTTAATAAAACAACAAATCTCTTCAAAATTGCAGCTTCATCTCAACAATGGAGTTTAGATTAAATTAAATGGCTTTGGGTTTTGTTGGTTTTTTTTTTTTTTTTTTAAAGAGTCATTTTTGTGTGGTCTATAAAACCTCCTATGAATGCAGTATAGCACAAGACAGTGTAAGACACTGATTGACACTGAAACCCAATAAAGGAATAAATAAGTGTACAAAGCCTGGCTGATAGGAACTTGGCCTGATGCCTTTATAGGGACAGAGGACCTGAATTAAATCCAAGTGAGACTCGCAAAAGGACTTTGAAAATCCCACTGGGTGCCTGTCTGCATTTTCCAATGCCAAAATAGTCCTGTCAGTTTGCCCTAAGACCTCGTTTCTAACATGCTCAGAAGGAGACAGGCATCTTTCTACTGATGCCAGAAACAATTGGTTCAAGCCCAAAATATTTGAGGTGCAATTTGTCAAAACTATCATCAGACCTTTATAGTCACTTTTATAGTCACCTCTTTTATAGTCACTTGAGTGAAAGAGACACTTTAAGAGCAGAAATCCTTTGACCTCTGTGTGATGTTTGGTTTTGGGCTGAAAGTAGCTGAGCCCTAAAAGTACCTGTTTCTTTGTGTTGACTACAAAGGAAACTTAGTGTGACCGGAACATTATGGATGTTTGCAGTTAATAAAAAGAGCCCAATGCTTTTAATTCTTTATTTTGATTAAGAAATATGCATGAAGTTAGATAGAGAGACAGGTGATGAGCATGAACACAATGAAAGATTTCTGAAGATTATTTTTCTGTCCATTTCTTGTGTTTAATTTTGTGAACAGAAAGGGACTAATGTTTCAAAGATGTTTAAGCAAATCTTTGGCAAAATTTCCTAACAGTTAGGTTCATAAGGTCCCACTTAAATTAAGAGAAGCTAGTTGTGTGCATCATGAACCTGTTTCACTATTCAGAAAATCTCACTGTGTTGCCAGTCACTGGAACATGGATAAATCCCTTCAGAAGTTTCCCCTAAAGGTATTTTTATAGAAGTGACAAATAACAAAAATGAAAATCCATTCAAACTTCATTTCATTTTTAGCATGTAATTTTTTTCAGCTTGTTTTTTTCTGAGAGCAATTAATTTTATAAGCTAACTAGCTATTGTCTGTGTGCATCCAGAGCTCTTATCTATGTAAGCTGCAGATACACCTTGGGCTGTACCTGGACCGTGGTGATGCCATGCTCACGACCAACCAGAACTCGTCCATCTTGAAGCTTAGCAATCTTGGGTTCTTCTACCTTCATGAAATCAGTCACAAGGTCAGTGATATCAAACTGCCACTCAGAGCCTAGCATATAGGTCAAGTGGCCTCCAAACTCAGAGGATTCGGCTACAAACTGTGTGAGGACTCGCACCATGGCATGCTGATACTGGAGGGTACAGCCTCTTCCTTTTTTCTCATCATCCTCTTCATCCTCACTGTCACGGGTAGGCCTGTAAATAGATCAGGGTTTGTTACCTGCATTGCCATGATCTCCCTACAACACTGCAGAGCTCCTGTTGGGTGGTATTTTAAATTAGATTAATGTTATCATCTGCTACCGTGTGAGAAACAGGAAACCAGATTCTGTATGTTTATGTTACTAAATCTGGGGAAGATGTGTGTACACTTTTTTGTGCTAATGTAAGTGAGAGGGACCTCCTAGCAACTTGAAAATACATCTGCCATTGCTGAGATTTCAGTGGGACCACCGTGTGTTCACTGTGTCTTCAAGAGGCAGACAAATCTTGCAGAGTGCTAAGGAAACCAGCATGAAATGTTTATGAGAGGGGAGTTCTGGAACAAACCCCTGTAGCAGCTCAGAAGGGATGGGAGAAGGTGTTTTAACATCCTTTCCTCTACCTTTGCCATAATTTTTGTATCACTTTCCTCATGTCTTCAAAACTGTTATAACATAGTCAGGATTCCCTGCTTAGGTAATAGCACCTCACCTTATCCTGCATCTCCATCTCATATGTTCACATTTGAGAAATATATCATGATTTCACCTTAAATCTCAGACATCATAAATCATACATAAATCTCATACAGTTCATGCAGATATCTGGTGTATTTGGTCATGTAATCATCACATACGGCTTCCAAAAAACCAAATGAGGCACCACGTTACCTCCCGGGACATCAGTTACTCAGATGTACAAACACTATGCCAGACTGGTGAGACTACCACTCACCATAGCAAAACCTGCAGCACTAGACATCCTTTCTTCAACATTCTCTCTGTCCTGCTTGCAAAATACAACCTGTGACAGCTTTCCATCAGCTTATAGACGGCATCACAGTGATTTGTCCACGACAGCAGTGCTGTCCTCACAGAAGCACACACCTCACAGAATTTTGTCTGGTTTCAAAGCCAGGCTTCCTCTCTCTCTTGCAGTTGTTTAGTCCTTGGGACAAACACATGGATTCTCTTATCTTTTTCAAGTCAGGTATTAAGCACTAGGTGGTCACACTTTTACTCATTATGCTCCCATGCTGTGGAATTCATTGCTCAGAAATAAACTGCCTTTCTCCTTTACTTATTTATTGAGCCTGAAGCCACCTCTACAGCAAGGCTGGGCAATACAGGGTAAGCCTCTTATTTTTCACAGTATTCTGGGAAGTAGTTTTGTGTTTACTGTGTTCCTTTATCTTCTCCTTTGAAATACCAGCTATGAAAAACTATTATAAAAGAGAATTGCTTTTGTTATAAATTGTTTTATGACAAAGTTGGCAAACAGTAAGCTGAAAACGTATCTAAGAAAAGCCCTCACACTCTTCAAAATGATAGAAAGTCCTGGTGTTACAGAACCTAATACACTGGAAATACATTTTCAGTGCATCGCTTCTTAGCTGAATATATACATTTGACCTCAAGTAAATGGTATTTGGTACATCCTTTTTGGTTTTCTGAGTGTAAAACAAGTGTCCATCAGTAGTCACTGAATGAAACATTGAATAACCACTGAATTGTAAAGCAAAAAACCAGGATCCTAAACCAGGATTTACATTATACAAACAAATTAGTCTTACAGACTTAGACTAGCTGGGTATTTCAGGGAAATTTTCAATTGTTCTCTTTCCCAACACAAGTGTCAATCTGGACGATGAGCTGAAGCCAGCCAGTCAGCCAGACATCTGTAAGGAAAATACTAGAAGGGGAATCTTCATAGAGCTTACATGGCCTGTGCCTATTTAGATTGCTTTTGGCTTTATAATGCTATGAAAGAGTTTTAAATCCTTTAAATCCTTATCGTTCCCACTTCCAATTTTTTCCCATATTCTGACCTTCTTCGACTCATCTAAACCATAACTCAGCTCTGAATAATCTCAGACTTTGGGAAAACTAGGTTTAGCTCTGAGATTTCAGGATCTGATGCTCTTTTAGTAATGCAGAAGTTAAGATTAGTACCTGTGCGGAACTGGAGAAGAACACACAGGAGCTGTTCAGGTAAGAAGTACTTACAGGATTTTGGGAAAAGAGCCACAGAACTAGTGAGAACCAGTATTCTTATGGGAAAAGAGACACAGAACCAGTGTTCTGTGGGTTGAAGAAAAATGTTCACATGTTCAACATTCACACTGACTTAATTTTTTTACAGAATTCCATTTTTCTGTTTCTGTTACATAACCAGATGTTTTACTCAGATACCATGTGTTACTGTTATTCATATTTATTTCTGTGCTTATTTATTTCTGCTTTCCCTGTTTAAAACTGGACAGGACTGTTCACAAGGAAATATATTCAAAACAACTTTGAGGGAAAGAATTTTTCAGCCCCAGACCCATACAGCTCATAAATGTGAGTTGTGAGAAGAATGACCAGAGATGAGGAGTGTAGCATAAGGGCACAGAGGGAGCACTCCTGCCCTTCCTACCGGGCTTCAGACTGTATGGGCAGCCAGTACTACCATTCAAGTACAAATCTTTACCTGTGGTATCTCTCACAAACAAAGGTAAGGGCTCCATTTCCTTACAAAAACATTTACAGGTGTTTGTATCTGTATACTTCTCCTTAGAAACACGTGGTTTTTATTGCATGCAAATGTGGAACATGAGAAAAGCATCCCTGAACCATGGAATGGGCAAGGCACTTTGTTATGTCAGTGCAAAGCAAGAAGTGAGGTGCTTGAATTTTCAGTACAAGCTTTGCAAGTCTGCTTTACCAAGTACCAACTCTAGTTCTTTATTTTTTCAAACAAACGATATAAATTTCCACTTCAAAGCCAGAAATCCATGATTCAGTTACTAAGTCAGAGCATTTCAGTGTTTTGTCTCCATGGGCGCAACAGAATGTTTGAGATCCACTGAATCTATGGTTTCTTTAGAGTCTTAAACTTCTTGTTACAGTGTTTTCAGTAGACTTAAAATCCATTATTAAGCAGTGAGCTCATTTTCTTTTTAAGACATCCTCATGAATATAAGCTATTGCTTCATTTTGTGCCTTTTTCTTCCCTCAGTCACCTCCAAGGCTAGCTCTGGATAGCTCTCAGAATCCTTCTTACCCTATTTCTTGCTTGGAAGATTTTTTTTGCTTTTCTGGAGTGAACCAAGGTTGCCAGAATTACATTTAATTTACATTTCACACAGAGAAAGCCTTTGCCAGAGAGCTGAGTTAAAAGAGCAGCCCTGTTACAAGGGTGCCTGCTAGCACTGATCTAATCAGTGATCTGTCAACTTTATATTATAGACACTGCTGTGAGCAGTTTAAGTATGTCTCTTTTAATTTGTACCACTCAAACCAGGCATCACGTTCTTGGGCCAGATGCTAATTTTCTGTTAAAAAAAAAAAACCTAAAGAAATCAGTTTTGCTGGTTTTGAATTTGAAATACTCATTAAAAAGAGCCATGTATTTTAAAAACATTTGCAACACCTCTAATTGAAAAAAAAAAAAAAATCTGTTTTGGATACAAAATACAAGCTACTAGAAGCTGATTTAGTGGAAGCTACAGAAATAAGTTGCACATAGCTCCACTCACACAGATCAAGAAGAAATGCAGTTTGGTACTTTTACAGATCTTGAAAATATGCTCTACCTATTAAGAAAAAAATCTCTATAGCCTTATCTCCATAGGACATTAAAGGCGATGAATTTACAGCATGTTCAAGCTTTGTGCAGATGTTGTTATTTACAAATGGAATGGTTTGAATCTGGTTTCACTTAAATTTGACTTGAAGTATGGCTTTCTTTATGAGTAGCAGCACTCATGAAGAGGTTTAACTGAAGCAGTTTATTTTTTCCCTGCATTTAACTTGGGCTAACTTTCCTGCTTTTGTCTCTAGTACTAGACAGGATCAAAGCAGAGCTACCACCTAGTTAACCACTAGTTCAACCAGCTGCCATTCATAAGCAAAACCATGTCTGGCTTAACTCTATTTCGTAGGTTTTGAAGGTTTATGCTACTCAGAGGTCTGCACTCATCGTGACTTAGTAATGGCTTTGTCAGCTCTTGCTCAGTAAGGCCAGACACTGGGAAAAGTCCAGTAAACTATGTGCCTGACAATGAAGCACGTGCTGGAGTCATACGCTGTGTCTGCCTCCCTGGGAGCCTCAGGAAAACAATGTGCTATCCCAGGTGCAAATACTGACTTAAATTAAATTTCCAGCTTGTTCTGTGTGACTTCAGCCATACGATTCCTATTAATGCAGGTTGGAGCCACTCATCCCATGTAAATGTATGTGCATAGAGCCGGTGCAGGAACTTCGGGAAGAAGGTAATTATTTTGCAGATGCATGAGGAATCAAAATAAATGTTCTTGTCAGGCTAGCAGAGTCTGCCTGGACCTCTTCTACACTCTAATGTTTGACTTCAATTTAAATATACGGCTTTTGTTTGCTGAGACTGTGGACTTTTCTGAAGCCCACTGCAGTAGAGTTTCTGTTAGCCCATGCTGGTTGGAGGACCACGTACCATGCATTAGTCATGAGGCGATCCATGGAGCTGACTTTCATCTGGAAAGGGAGGCTCTTTGTATCTGCAGTAGCACGCACCACAGAGGAAGTTCTCCTCTGGATAATAATGATAAAGGTTTGCTATATATTTGCAGACTGATCTGGTAAAATGTATTATTGCTCTTACATAGGGGAGAATTTTTAATTATCCCCCCCCCCTGTTTCTGGCATACAAGCAGCCTGGTTTTTCTTTCTGTTCCTTT